TGTTGTGGACCCAGCTGCTGTCACGAGCCTCATCCGCTGCTGCTGGCCAGGCCCTGCTCCTGACCCAGGCCCCACACCCCAGCAGGCGCATCTGGCGACTCTGTACCTGCAGTGAAGCAGCACACATTCATCGCCTCCACATATTCTCCTCTCTACTCCCACAGATGTTGTGTCTAGACAGTTGTCCCGCGACCGGCTCTTCCACATGCCGTTGTCTCACATGGGCACGCACCGCCCTCGTTCTGCCTCACATGTGCTATGCAACCCTGCAGACAACAAGTCTCCTACACAGCCTGGAGAAGGGGGGTATTGTAGTGGATTTCTCCCTAAAACGCTGTTTGTCGCTGCCTAGCTGACCCACCAATTCCCCAGTGTATGCCTCGTGGTCTGGGTCAGCAAGCGCCGCCATACACACGGAGCGGAGGTCAACTGCTAAGCCACGCCTACCCCAGCTGTTGAGCCTGACCTCGTGGTGATCTGTCTCTTTCTACCACCAACCAGCCAGCAACATCCGCCTGCCTGGGCGGTCCTCATCCTCCGCCTGCCTGGCGGTCCTCCCTCCCTGCGCGAGCATGGCGACCCCAAGTGTTCTCTGAGCGTCCTCACCAACCAGCTCTCTCTACATCACGCTTGTAACCATGCTGCCTTCCCAGCACCAAGCTGCATTGTACATCAATACAACATGTATAGAAGAGCACATTGTGAGTTTCCTTTCTCCATCCCATCCTGAGTGTAGACAAACAACTCATTACCCCACAAACCCATGCACCTGTCTGTTCCTCCTCGACTCCTCCCTCTTCTGCTTCAAGTCCTGCAGGAGCTTCTTGTGCTGTTCCTCTGCATTACCGTGCGGTCTGGGTGAATAAATACATCCCGAAATTCCTCGCTCCTTGCTAAGTTTTTTGCCTGCCGAATAACTTGCCATTTTCCTCCTCACTCCCTAGTGTGATCCTGAGGGGCGAGGCTTAGCCCTGCTTTTGTCCCACCTCCTCACATCCTGAGGGGTTGCTGGAATCTTCAGAACCTCTGTGCAAATATTTTGAAACAGCACCTTGTCGTGTGTTTCCTTACTCACAGTTCCCTCTGCCTGGCTCTGGGACTCCAAAACTATTACATTGTTCCTGCGCTGGAGCCGTTCCTGGTGTTCCTCCTCTCCCTAACAGTAGGTGCGTTAATTTTCATTTCTTGACACACTTTTTCAGAGTCCCAATCTGCTGTAGAACCTGTACTGATTCTGCATTACTCTCCGTCCCCCCCGTGGCCCTCCTAATACGTCAGCATAACTCCTCTTAGCAACCACCTCCATTCTATTAGCTACTTCCTCAGTCTTAGCAAGGATCTCTTTTCCAACTTCCTCCAGTTTGTCAACCAGCAGGGCTCCTGCTTCATCTATTTTTCTCTTGAAGAACTCGTTCCTATGGATTGCAATCGCTTTATTCACCTTGACTATGCAGCCAGAGCAATACCAGCAACAGCCATCAAGCTTTACGGCAGTTAGTAACTTCCTAAACGTTGCATTAGTTAGGCCTGTATCCTTAATCCGACGTCTCCTGCAGTAATCACATATCAGCTCATGGTTTGTTGTTGTTGTGGGGTGCAGACTGTGTATAAATCTACTATTTCAAAGAAAATAAAGAGAGAAAAATGCTAGCTACTCTCTGTTGCCTATGGAGTTGTCGTCTGCGACTCAGTACTTACTGTTTCCCTGTGAATGGTGTATGTAGGCACAGTTTCAGTCATGAAAGCACACAATCAACATAAAATTTAAAGTCTCTGTGGCACCTATGACACGACTTGGTTTCAGCTGGCACGGTGCCTTTCCAGCTTGCCTGCTAGTGAGCGCTCTTTAAGTTATTTACAACTTCAGCGGTCACTGATGACACTATGAACTATCACTGTGTACACTGTATCTCCCTGTGAGTGGTGTATTATAAACACAGATTCAGTCCTTGAGAAAGCACACAAACAAAATAAAATTTAAAGTCTCTGTGGCACCTATGACACGAATAGGCTGGCAGTTGTCATACCAGCTCGATTGCCAATATGTATTCACTTTAAGTTATTATAGTCTCTTCTGCATTCACTGATGACAACTATGAACTGATGATTTAACTAGGCACAGTACTACACTCCTGGTTGGCCTTTATCACAGCCGTGACCACAACACCTAAAAATAAAAATAAAATAAAAAGCTTTGTCATGTGGCAGTGATTGTGTGGTTATAGGCCTGTGACTCTGGCTGTACCTCCAACTCGGTGGAAATTGAGTTTTCAAAATACAATCGTGTCTAGCATGAAAAGTCCGACATCGATTTACACTTTCACCTCACTAAGACGATCTTGACGAACTTATGTAATCACTGTCCAATTTCTGCGCTCTACATCGAGCCCGAATGCGAACAGCTTTGTTACAGAGACGCAACACGACCCGCCGCCCTGCACTTTCTATGCCGGGATTAGTCTTGTCATTCTCCTTTGAATTCTTTCCAAGGATTCTATATCCATTCTGTAACACGGTGACCAGAACTGAACTGCGTAATCAGGTGTGGTCTCACAAGAGCAAGATACAGTTTTAGGATGACCTCGCTAGTCTTGTAACTAACACTCCTTGTATGAACCCAAGTACTTTATTAGCCTTGTTACGTGCAAAAACACATTGTTTACTTGGCAAGGTTCCTACTTATAATTACTCCTAAATCTCTCTGCAGTCGGATTTCTCTATGGCATCGTTGTTCATCTGGTATCTGGTTCCCTGTTTACATCTCCTATACTGAATACTTTACATTTGTCGTGAATTTCATCTGCCATTTTTCAGACCATTCGAAAAATTTGTTTAGATCTTCCTGTAATTTTGCGAGTCCTCGTCAGATTTGATAACACGTCCTATTTTAGTGTCATCAGCAAATTTACTTATGTTGCTGTCAATGCCGATATCTATGTCGTTTATGTATATAATAAATAATAATGGTCCAAGTACTGAGCCTTGGGAACTCCACTGACGTTGCTCCAATGGGACTTAGTGCGTTATTGCTCTCTTTCGCTGTTTCCTGTGCCTGTAACCACGCCCTAATCCATTTAAGGATGTCACCTTTGATGCCATGAGCTTCTACCTTTCTAATTAGTCTTTCGTGGGGACTCTGTCGAAGGCTTTGCTAAATACGGCCCTTAGTGCCGTTAATGCTCACTCTCTGTTTCCTGTCCTGTAACCACGCCCTAATCCATTTAAGGATATTACCTTTGATGCCATGTGCTTCTACCTTTCTAATTACTCTTTCGTGGGGGACTCTGTCGAAGGCTTTGCTAAAGTCGAGATATACCACATCATAATTGTGCCCTTCGTCCACAGATTCGAAAACTGATGAAAAGAATGTTAATAGATTGGTTAGACATGAACGCCCGCTTGTGAAGCCATGTTGGGAATCATTGATCAACTTGTGCTTCTCCAGGTGGTTTCGAATAGAGTTTGAAATGATTGATTCAAGTAATTTGCCTACTATTGATGTTAGGCTGATTGGGCGGTAGTTAGAGGATAGTGATCTATCCCCCTTCTTGAAAATCGGTATTACATTCGCTATCCTCCAGGATTCTGGTACTACACCTGTTTTTAAGGACATGTTAAACAACTTTGCTAAGGGCATACTAAGCTCTTCCTTACATTCCTTTAATACTCTGGCAAATATCTCATCGGGACCAGGTGACTTATTAGGCTTTAGTTTGTCTATTTGCTTACTAACATCGTTACTAGTCACTACTATCTCGCTTAATTTGTTTTCTTCACTATCTCTGAATAGAGTCGGTGCCTCGGGTATCATGTTTAAATTTTCGGTGGTGAAAACTGTTGAAAAATATTTATTCAAATTATTGCTCATTTCTCCGTCGTTATCAGTGAGCTCGCCGAAGTCTGACCATATTGGTCCAATCTTTTCTCGTGTTTTAGTTTGATACATTTGGTAGAATCCTTTGGGGTTTGTCTTCGCCTCCCTTGCTATCCTTACCTCATTATTCCTCTTTGCTTTCCTTATCTCGGTTTTAACCCTACTCGCCAATACCCTATAATAGTCCCGGAGGTGAATTTCGCCACGATTTATCCTTCTACCTGTAGCCTTCCTTTGGCCAATGATGTTCTTTAAATAATTATTTATCCATTTAGGGTCATTGTTGTCTGATCTGAGTTTTTTGTATGGTATGTTCTGCCTTTGTGCATTAAGTAACTCACTATTTAAATTGTCGTGAAACTCGGCAATCTCAGATCTCGTTATCAGGTCGGTGTCATCTGTCAGGTTCACAGCCAAGCGCGACACCCCCTCTCTCAGCTGCCTCTTTAAACTGTCAAAGTTTGCCCTTCTGAAATCTGGTACTTTAGTGGAATTTTCCTTACGTCTGCCCTGAAAATCTAACTGGAATCGAATTTCTTTGTGATCGCGAGCATGGCGACCCACAAGCTGTCCTCCTCTGAGCACCCTCACCAACCAGCTCTCTCTACATCACGCTCGTAACCATGCTGCCTTCCCAGCACCAAGCTGCATTGTACATCCAATACAACATGTATACAGAGAGCACATTGTGAGTTTCCTTTCTCCATCCCATCCTGAGTGTGAACCAAACAACCCATACCCCACAATGTCACTGTTCACTGCAATGCAGGACAGAGGTTTGTACACAAAGAAATACATCATATTCATTCGCAGTATAAATAGTTCAAGAGGATAAAAATAAATGTATGAAGAAGCCAAATTATTTATATTGTCGTTTTAAACCCCCAAGAGCAAATGTGTCTTTTTTTTTTACTTAGATGAAGCAAACAATAATATTGCATTAAAAATATGGCACTAGTTGTTTCTTCCTTGATACGAAATATAATATTAACATTACTTTAAATTCAAAAGTATTCTTGCGAGATTCTTTACACTACATAAAATATGTAAATATAATTATACCTATTTTTTTTCATATTATTATTACCAGATTGAAGCTTATACCGTACAATTTAATAATGTTCATGTTGTGCAATGTATTACTCCTGGTGACTGGAGGGAGGTAAGGGAGCAGCTGAACCTTGTGATCAAAACACTGTACTCCCACCTACCTGACGTTCTCATAATGGTGAGTATTTTTCTCATTTTTAACACTTGTACAATATTTAATATGTTTATTGTCACTATGGTGAGATTTTTATTCATTGATAACATGTGCGCCAACTTCAGTGTATTACATTTTCAATATAATCAGCACTTTATTCCGTTAATATTGTATAGGTCCGTCTCATGGGAAGGAGGCACTTTAGGTAAGAAACAAGTTTACTCATATTAAAATTGTCTCTAAATTTGCTCCTATCCATGAGTTTGACATCAAAAGTATTGGCTAATATGAAGGACATCACAGCTGCTCCCCCCCGTCTCAGTAATAGTAAGTTTGTTCACTGGGGTACTGGACAACTCGTACCCAAGCAAATGGTATCCATCAGAACATGTCAACTCGTACCCAATTACGAGATAACTCTTACGCAGTTTACGAGACAGTTCGTACCCGTATATCTGTATACTAACTGATTTGTTTACAAAATCTGGAGCTAGAAAATCAATGTTTTTTTATGCATGTCTATATTTTGTTGACTTATGACCATTTTAAAAGTTTTCTTCGGCCAGTTTATAAATTGAAAAGGTATTATTTTCTTGTAGCACCGTTCATTCCTACCACTAATCTATTATCATATTCGAATACGACGTCTAATTATAAGATAATTTTCATCTATTACATTACCGGCGGAAATGTATAATAACGGAGATAGCTCTTCCAAAATATTTTCTATTTTCTTCCATTAACATCCCGTCATTATCGTCTGCCTCTCCTCCAACACTGCGTGTCTTCTGCGTCCCCTTCATAAATCATCCTGCGCATGCGTTGCTGTACACGTCACGCGGCCAATCAAAAGCCTTTTTTATTTTGAAACCAATTAAAATGTTTTTGGGTTTAATTCGTGGTATTTTTGGCCCAATCAAATTCGAGTATTCTTTTTGTTCTCTCATATTTTGAAATTCAAGTTCAGTTCCGACCATGGAAGTCTGCGATGGATGTCACTTAAAGTATATGGAGCTGATTGCGAGTTTTTGAAAAAAAACGAAGAAACTATAGCATTTTTTTGATCGCATGGTGTTCTTCCAACCTTAGTAAAGTGTACTAAGAACAAGACTGAATGTAAATATCGCAAAGACCAACATATGTGGCGTTGTGTAAGAATCCCAGAATGCAACGACGAACAAGAACCAGGCCAATAAGGTAAGAAATAGGTGATTCCATCATATGGTGAGAGTCAGTTAAGTTAGCTTAGGTTAGTTTTGGTTTGGTTATTGTTTTTCTAGTTTTTTATTGTGTATTTGTTAGTCGCTTAGGCACTTTTTTATCTCGGAAAACGTCAAACGAAAAAAAGTCTCTAAAAAACCCGGCTAATTTCCGCCAAAAAGGAAGGTCATATTCGGTCTCAACACACACAAATACACTAGAAAAATATATTTTCAACTTGCTACAAGTGAACGGTGCTACAAGAAAAATTTACCATTGAAACTGCCAAATCTATTAGCCTATCTGTAAATTGCGATAAAGTTATTCTAAACCACATATTGTGAAATATGTACTTGTAGTTCAATGTTTGTGTGACGGAATAACGTACTTATTTAATGAGATGCAACCATTTTAAAGCCTGCATTACATTTCCCTATTTCACTGCACTTTCCTACAAGATTTACAAAATCTTTTTTTGTAACTACAGATAAAGCTAAAATGCATGGTATATGCTGTATACTAATAGGTATGGATTATCTCTTGAATTGGGTGGAAGTCATCTTGGGTATGACTTATCTCATGAGTTGGGTACAAGTTATCTTGGGTACGAGTTGTCTTGGTTACGATTTATCTTGGGTACGAGATGACCCTCACCCTGTCCACTGCAGGTGTTAAGTTATGCTAGATTAGGTTAAGGTTATGTTAGGTTAGGGGTAAGTTTGTAAAAGTTTCCCATAATTGTTTTGGATATGAAACTTACGTTTTTCTGATGGTTTTTGATGTGTTTTGAACGATTCTGGGTAAATATTCGTTCATTGGCTGTCCTCAGGTTTTGATAAAAAAGTAAACTTTTTAGCATATTATGGTGTGTTTTACACAAATCTGACCTTCATTTCTGGTGCAAATCAGGGTTTTTGGTGGGGTGAGAGAAAAAACGAGTGAAATGCTATATAAATAACCAAAGTTGGCTCGGATTTTACGTTTTTAACAAGTAAAGAAAAGCAAAAAATTTCGAATCTGTGCCAAATTTTGGCAAAAAATTATTATTAAATTCGAAAGAATCACACCAAAACCCACCAGAAAAATGTAGGTTTCATCTCAAAATCCGTTTCTGTGATAACCTAACCTAACTGCCATTGTTCAGACTATGTATATATATATATATATTATCTAACCAAGGGGATGCAACCCCCCTAGGAACCCCCAGCTAATGAGGGTGCTCCTCTCTCAGGACCCCTCCAACAGAATTCATATCGAATCAACCAGCATAACCTAACCTAACCAAACTATGTACGGTAACCTAACCAAACTATATAACCTAACCAAAGAACAAGCATGCATGTGTTCTGCAGACTAGTAACATACTGCACATCATACATACAGGAGCTCTCTGAGGACAGAAATATTACTAAGAAAAGTTGTTAGAAATGATGAGACATATCTAGAACTGGACCCAAAAATATTGTGGGATATTATGGGCAACTTAAAAATATACCAGGTTCGGTTAAGTTAGGTGGTAAACTTATCATTTCAGTCATCCAGCAATTTTCAGATTTTTAAGTTTTGGAATCAGTAGTTTAGAAAATTCTAAGACCCTTTTCTTCTATGGCATTACTTCTACAGTACTCATAATTAGTTTTGGTGAAAATCGAAAAAAAGGAAAAATCTTCATTTTTTTAAAAGTTGTTGGAAGTTAAAATTATGTTTTTCCGATTGTATTTGACATGTTTTGAATCTGACCCGTCATTTCTACCGCTATTCACAATTTTTTTAGATACCCATCTTATCCAATGATCATAGGGGACCCCCAGTGGGAACCAGGGATTTTGGGTGGGGGAAGAAAATAACACAAAGGTAGTAATTTGCGATAGAAATGAAGGTCACAATAATCCTAAACCTAACCAAACCTAACAAAACCCAACCTAACCTAACCCTAAACCTATCCACCTGTGTGCTTAACTTAGACTCGTAGTTGGGGGTCATCGGGGTCCTCCTCCTCATCATCCACAGGTCACAGCAATTTTCCTTCCACAGTACCAGAGGTTTTTGTCAGCCTTATTGCTACTGTACAGGGCTAGTTATGGTTCGCACAAGTAACCTCAGTTGGCAAAACACCGTGATCATGGAGAAATTTCAACGCCTCACCATCCTTACCGTAATATTCTATGTGAAATGTTGTGATGGCTTGGAAATAATTGACATCACAGCCATTGCATAATGAAGCCATTGTGGAACTAAAATCAAATTCAAGTGGGTAGTGGAGGGAGCCTATACCGAGCTATGATTGGTTGATCCAAAATCATAACTACCAATTAATGTCCAAAGAACAACTGCGCATGTGTGAGACTAGTGCATGCATAATGCAGTACAGTATACAGTACTAACCAACACACAAGAGCTCTCTGGGAGTATTTTCCAAAAATTTATTGCGATTTTCTCTGAAAGTAGTCATGAGCGGAAGAAATGCTAAAGAAGTGTCTAAACTACTGATTCCCAAAATTAAAATCCTGAGAATCGCTGGATGACCGAAACGATAATACAGTACTGTACAGGTAATACAGGTTAAGTATTGATATTGAAACAGTTTATTTAGCCAGAAAAAACACAGATGCACAGTCGATAATACTCTGTACATTTATCTCAAGGAAGTATTAAGTAACATTTAGTATCATCTGGAATATCCTGTAGTATACGTAACATGGTGGTAGTAGGAACATATCAGAATGTTACCACAGTTAACACTTCGTTATTTTATTTTTGTTTATATTATAAGTACAGTATACAGTAGTCTGGATTTACGCGGTTTTGGTTAACGCCAGAATTGAAATGCTTTAATTATGTGGTAAATTTGGTCATTTACGCGGCGAGTCGCTGGAGGGTCCAGACGTGCCGCGCCATTTTGGATTCAAGTGGCCCAGGCGACCACAAGCGGCGCGAGTAAGGTTGCGCAGTATGTCGCTGTTGTGTTATCGGTGACGTCATATGACGTATCGGACTGTGATTGGGCCACGCATCCTTACCACCCATGCATTCCCTCCGTCGCTAGCTGTGATTGGTCTAATGTAACATGATGTGCCCTGCCACCAGAGGGTAGAAGTCACTGATCTAGCAGGGCCTGTCTCATTGTTCTCAGTTCTCCGCGTATACAGTTCTCTCTTGTGCCCGCTATTCCCCTCACAACTCACAATGGCTTCCACGGGACCCCCACCACCAGAGAAAAACATTGAGTTACCTGGACCAAGCCATGATTGTGTGAAGGAAATCATCGAGTTGGGGGAGAAAATTAAGCTCATCCTTAAAAACGACCCAGACAAGCATCGGTATGAAGCGTCTAATAACCATCTGACAAAATTTATGGAGCCGTATATCCAGATCTATCTCGACAACATCAATGCTAGTCGTCAACGTAGTATTGGGGACTTCCTCGCCCGCAACCCACCACAACCACAGCCAGCCCAAGTCAGTGATAGTGACGATATGGACTTTGAGAGGTTTGTCTGGGAGGCCCTGCAAACCTCTGCGAGTAGTGAAAGTGATTCACCGGAGGGCAACTAATCTGCCCTCTGTCTTGGAACCAGCCGCCATCCATGTGTGCCGACCCAGCTTTTCTACTAACGTAAGTGTTAAGAAACCTAATATTATTGATATTTCTCTTAATTATTAATTATGTGTGCATACAATTATAAAATTAAGATGTTATTTTTACCACAACGTACGTTTTGTGTCAATTAATCTCATATGTTCTGTTATTTCATTTACGCGTTTCTCGTTTTACGCGGGCCTCCACGGGTTCAATCCGCGTAAATCCAGACTATACTGTATACTGCACATATTTTACATTGGTGTTGATCTCCATAAATATGATCAAGGGAGGGAAGCATTACAACATGGGTTGTATTAAGGTAGAACAAGAGGACAGAGCTGTCAGTATTATGTCTAGTCAGCAATTATAATTATTGCAATGGTAACTTCTATCTATCTACAATTTATGATATACCCCCATAATGGTTTTGGTTAGGTTAGGTTGAGTCAACTTGAAATTTTAAATAAACACTAAAACACAATTGCCATAACTATGACAGTGTCCACTATAAAACAGTGAAATTGTGGCATTTTAAATTCCTTTTCTATGAAAAATTAGCGGTTGTGAAGTCGTAAATAATTACCAAATTATTACTGTTAGGTTAGATATGGTAGCCAAAGTTTGGTTGGTTGGTGTATCTTAGTTAAAATAAATCATTGGTTGCTTGCAAATATGTTTGGCCATCATGAGACACTGTTCAGGTATGAAATACCATCTTGGACATCATCGCCAATGTAATGAATTGCCTTAGAACCTTGTTATTTCCTGGTACAGTAGCTGTATTATTAATTTGAAAATTATAAACATCCATACAAAAATGTTCACAAGTTGCTGCTAGCGTCTCGTGCGTATGGAGTGAAAGCATTAATGTTAATTAAACTTTTGTCTTTAAGTATTCACATAAACAGTTGATGCCCACCCGGGCACAGGCCACCGACCCACAACGGGGCCTATGGGGCAAAAAAATACGAGTAAAAAGAAACACAAAATAGAAAAGAAAAAGATTATTTTAATCTACTCCACGAAGATGCTGAAAAAACAGCTTTTTGAAGTGAGGCAGATTGTATGAGTATGGAAACAGAAGAAGGCAGAGCATTTCACAGTTTGGCTGTGTAAGTAAAGAAGGAAGTACTATAATGGGTTATTCTGGTGTGACTGACATCCACAGAGAGACGGTGGACACTGCGGGCAAGACGAGTATTATGAGCTCACGTCCTTGCCGACGGTACACAGGATGCCAAATCCACTGAACATTGCCTGTTAAAGTATCTGTAAAAGAGAAAGTGAAGCATTATTGCAGTGAAAAGAAAGGGAAGAAAGATTGTCAACTAAAGGAGAAGAGTCAATAAGATGAAATGTCTTTGACTCCACCCTATCTAAAAGTTGGACAGAAGAAGAGCCACCCCAGATATTATGAGAGCAGTACTCCAAGTCAGGATGAATGAATCCCTTATAAACTTGAAGCAACTGCTCAGGAGTGAAGTAGCTATGGCATGTACAGCATTCCCAGCTTTCGGGAGGCAGTATTAAGAAAATTGTTGTGATACAATCTTTATTGAGTTGGCAGTGGATATTTTGGTGTGGACTGTGACTGGTAAATTCCTACTAATGCTTTTTTACCTTGAGTGCACTTTGATTGGTTAATCGTCCAACACCAGCGAACAACACAAGAACTGTATTTGACCGTGACTCTGGTGGAATTTGGCATTTATTTTGCCGTGAATCGTTTGTTGTGTAGCTGTAAACATACCTAACCATGTTTCTGTTGTGCATGAAAACTTGTTAGTTTATAAAAGAGGCAACATTTACTAGAACCTAATAGAACCTGACTTAACCAACCAAAGACACTTACCTAACTTTACCTAACTTCCTAACTGGGGGATGGACTTCCCATCATATTAAAGAGAAAGTACGGACTTAGCCAATCAAATGCACTCACAGTAAAATGGCATGAGTGGGAACTTAGACGGTCACTGCAAAATATCCACTACGTATTCAGTTAAGAATTTCTCCCATAAAAAGGACAAGGATTTGCAATTTTCATGTTATCATTTTGCCAATGCACTTATCAGCATCGTTCTTTCACTACACACAAAAAAAAATTCCAGTTTAGACTACATTAGGCTTGGTTTGGTAAAGGTTAGGGTAGGTTAGGTTAAGTACATTTGGTTTGGGCATTAATATTTAGATTTGTCAACAAGAAGCACAGACATGGATGGGCTTGAAAAGTGTTTGTTTACAGGTAAAATGTAAATACTGTAAACAAAACAATAAATATTGACATGGACCTTGTGCAATATGTTTGTTTATGTATTTACATTGGTCAGTTTGGTTCATTCTGGACAAGAGTATCAAGCCCGTGTCCAGATCCTCTTGTATTTGTGTAACGACTATTCCTACTCTAGTGAACAGGCTGTTGAAAACTGTGTAATCCTAAGTGGCTTCTTCATCATGTTTATATTTACTGTACAGTACATTGTAAAGTTGCATTGTCCTCGTATTAGTGATGGGAATATTTTTGAAACTGTCGTATAACATTGAAAATTTTCCTTTTTGTTTGTTTGTTTTGTTCTTTGGTAATCTTTTTAAACTTCCTGTTTTGAAATTTATGTCCACTTTTGTATTCCACAGTTGGTACTCGTGTTAGGAGATCTCCACATTCCCCATCGTGTTGGTTCGCTGCCGGCAAAATTTAAGAAGTTACTAGTACCAGGTCGTATTCAACACATCCTATGCACAGGAAACCTCTGCACCAAGGAGAGTTATGACTACCTCAAGACCCTTGCAGCAGATGTTCATGTTGTTAGAGGAGACTTTGACGAGGTGAGAGTTGAAAATTTTAGTTACCCTGTATTAATCTTGTCAGGATATTAACTCTAATGTAATTTCTTACAACCTCTCAGCATTTCATTCTTAGCCTGCCTCTGACTCTTCCCCTCCACATTTAGACTCCTTCATCTCTTGACCTAATTTGTCCCACCATTATTTCCAAATGCCCAAACCATCTTAACTTACCTCTATGTAAAACTTAGCTAATACAGTACTCTCAATAGCCAGCTGCCCACTTAGCTCTTTCATAACTGTTGGTATGTTATGAATTAAAGATTTTTTTTAAAATCTTTACCAAACAGTATTTTGCTCTGTTTATTTGGAGGATCATGTAAGCTTCCTTTTTTCAATAAATTAAACTTTGGAAATCTTATGTTATTGAATGGGTGCTAATTGTTAGTTTTCTGTTATGAATAGTTTAGGCTACCCTCAGAATATTGAAAACAATGTGAAGAAACTTTTACCTGCCTTACACCCTATTGGGATGAAAATTAAGACAAGGTTCCCAATTTTTGTATAATTATAGCACAAATCCAAGGAAACTCGTGCTATATCTTTACCTTGATTATCATGGTTTACATTTGCTGGCAAACTAGTACAAGAATTGATTTTTGTATCATAATGGGGTGCTTGAATTATTGTGGATTATGACAGTCCAGTGCCACACCTACCCCCCCCTCCCCTCTAAATTCATCATGACAGCTGACCTTCAGTGAGTTATTCTTCAAATTACTTGTATAGTATAATTTTTTTGTCTAACATAGATGGAAGACAAGGCATTGGCTCGTAATTTGTACGTGATTTGATGAGTGTAAGGGTGTAAAGGTGGTACCTTTCCCAGTACAGTACATAAGTTTGTAAGTTTTTGGATGGAACATAGTAAGGCATGATGTCACTGCAATGATATTTTTTCACGCACACAGTTTCCATGCACTTACTATGACAGTTTGTTAAATTAGTACAATGCTGTACTGTACTGTACTGTGGTCCCTCTGTTTACGAACACAATTCGTTCCACAGAGCCGTTTGCTAACCGAAAATTTCCTTAAATGAATCCATTGTTTCAATGGGATATTGGGTAATTGGTTCCAGCTCACAGAAAAGTACATACAAAGTAAAAAAAAAAAATGCAGTAAAGTACACTTAATTTGAGGTGTGTATGTAGAAGGTTCCGGTTGATGATGATGAAGGGAATAAGAGGTGGGGATGGAGGAGAAGGGAGAAGAGAAGGAAGTGGGGATGGAGGAGAAATCACCTTTCAGGGGACCCATGCTTGATGCCGTCATTTCACCAATAAAATTTTAAGTTCACCAGGTGTAATTCAAGATTATTTTATTTAAATCAACACTGCACTGCACTATATATTATCAATATGTTAACTAAATTTCAGAATGACCAATAATTTCAATGTAAAAATGCAAAAAATATTCAAGACACCAACAAAATAGATGTTCACTCCACTGTCAACAAAGCCACCCTGACGCCTGGTGGCCAAGTCAAGTGGCTGATGGGCGCACAAAAAAATAGTACCCTGTACTGCATTTATTATCAATATGTTAACTAAATTTTAAAATGACTAATAATTTTAATTTAAAAAATGCAAAAATATTAAAAAGCACAACCTTTTTGATATTTACTCCACTGGAAACGAATGTAAACAGAGAACAGATTACTGAATTGGCAGACTAGCCCATCAGCTGATGCTCACAACAAAACATGTTTGTCGTAAGAATTTTGTTAATCGAAGTTTTGTTCTTTAACCAATTGAAGATCCTTATGGAAGCTAATTCGTTAACCGAAATTTCGTTAATCGAACCGTTCGTTAACCGAGGGGCCAGTGTAATGGCAGAAATATTAATGAATAAAATTAAAGGTAGGAGGACCAGGGCAAGGATGAGTTTGAAATGGATGAGTGAAATTAAGGCTGGATTGTGAAAAGATACAAAGTCTGGGAGGACAGTTATAGAGAACTTGAAAACATTATGAGTGGTGAATCATGGTGACTCCCAGTAAAAAATGGTGAAATTAGTAACAGATGTCCTTCATTTGCACATCCCATTTCATCTGGCATGATTCAAATAGAAGAAAAGAAAAGAAAATATCTACTATAGCCTACAAATGTACACAGAAGGTGAGGAGAAGAGGTAAGGAATTAAAAGAGTATTTTTCACCACCCTGCCATAAATATGTAGGAGTATTATGCTAGCCATTTCTGTCCATCCATACACCACACAAGTAACTTCCAATCAACATATTATCATCGAGTTAGGTTTGTATGTTTATATCACTTGATATTTATGCTAAATTGTATAATTCAGTTTTCCATACAATTTTGCAATGATTACAGCCCTTGTTCAACTTGGAAATTTTGGCGGGGACATAGAATACATCACCATCAGCAAAAATATTACAGAGCACAACTTTCTTGATATTTACTCCACTGGAAATGAATGTAAACATAGAACAGATTACGGAATTGGCAGACTAGCCCATCAGCTGATGATCACAACAAAACGTGTTGTTCATAAGGATTTCGTTAATCGAAGTTTTGTTCGTTAACCGAATTGAAGATCCTTATTGGAGGTAATTTGTTAATCAAACAGTTCGTTAACCGAGGGACCACTGTATTATGTAATTAGTAGGCTTAGGATAATTATGCATTTAAAAATGGCTAAATATGCATGCAAATATGCAGTAAAAACTGAGAAAATATGCACTTAAATATGCACTTTAAAATGTGTTAATAAATAATAACTACTAAGTTAATAACAGCTTTTCTGTACATTTTCTCAGTAAATTTTCTTTCCCAGACAGGATGTTGCCGAAGTAGGATTTTTTTAAAGAAGGATTAAATACAAAAAACAATATACTGACATCAAGTAATTTATTAAACAATACTGAAAGAAGTATTCCTTTTAAGAAAATAGAAGAACAAAAGAGTGTCAGGAGGGAACTGGTGGAGCCCATGCATCTATACCCTGCCTGGCTGAACACGAACCCATCACATACAGTTCATGTCCACTGACCAGCCAATCACGGCCTAGCTAACCACAGCCTAATGTTGAGCTATAAAAACGTCACTTAAGTATGTTCCTTTTGGATATTATGACACTAAAACAAAATCGCGTATTTTCGATTTTGTTTTAGTGCAATAAAATGGACTTTTATATTTCAAATATCAGTAATTTCTGCCCCAGCGTTGCTGTTATGCTCACGAATTTTTTGACCCTTGAGGTTGAAGAGTGTTTTATTATAATTTGAAATTTTCCAAATATATGCCTTATAAAACAAAAAAAAATATATGAATATGCACTTTAGCTCAAAAATGGTTTAAATATGCATTTGCATATATGCAAATGCATAATTATCCTAAGCCTAGGAATTAGTTTATTGCAGTGAAAAATATTAAGCACTCTTTCGAAAGGAATTGTCTGTCGTTGGTAATTATAATAATACAGTACAGTAATAATGGTTGCCCCTCGTGTAACGAAGATGGCTCTCCAAGGGCCATCTAGGTGTGAATTTGTTTAAGGTGTAGAAGCTGTCACCAACACAACAACCACACCATGAGTTAACGAGCTGCATGACTCAGTGTCAAGGAATAGTCCGAGAAGATCGGACAACTTGCCTACTGCATTGGCTAGCCATTATCCCGGAATACGATTCACAAATCGATTCACATCCAGGTTCCCAATTACTGCTGGGTAGACAGAGGCAAATGACATAAAGAAACTTGCCCACAGTTTCACCCTGCCCGGGGATCGAACCCGGGTTCGTTCGCTGACCATTACACCACAGGTCGCCACATCCAGGGTGTCACCCGCGAATTAAAACTGCGAATTGTCAGGGCATGCTGTACTCGGGTTTCCTTCTATATTAACACTGGATAGTAAAGGTGATAACAAAGAACAAACCAACTGCCTAAAAGGCTAGTTAACTGATAAGTGGTGTAAATGATAAATAAAAATACAAATGAAACCAACTCTCCTTTGAAATGAAATACTATGAAGAAGGTGATTAATGTTAAGAGTATTTTCAGCAAGTCTTATCTTCAAAGTCTTATAAATATTTTAGGATAATAGCTTATACCAAAGAAAGAATCGTGTGAGGTGATATTGGTTGCACCATTTATGTATCAGAGATAAAAGCAATATTGGCATTAAATGATGTTAGAACATACACTTTTGGTTATGACTAAATATTTTTTTTTCATTCGTTTCTATTTGATTTTGCAGACCAGTTATCCAGAACAGAAAGTGGTGACAGTTGGACTGTTTCGTATCGGTATGTGTCATGGGCACCAGGTAGTGCCCTGGGGGGATCCTGCTGCTCTGTCTCTCATTGCAAGGCAGTTAGATGCTGATATCCTAATCTCAGGTCACACACACAAGTTTGAAGCATTTGAAGCTGAATCTCGATTCTTTATCAACCCTGGATCTGCTACAGGATCATACAGTGCACTGGAGGGGTAAGTTTTATATACACATGCAGTATTTATAGTACTGTGTCACATGTTATAAACTTCTAGTCAACAGTTTAAGGTTTACTCAGAAACTTCCAAGGTATACTTGGTGAAATATACAAGTACAATGGATTTGGTTAACGAAATTTTCGGTTAACGAGTGACCTTATGGAACGAATTGTGTTCGTTAACTGAGGGACCACTGTATTGGGTAATTGGTTCCAGCTCACCGAAAAGTGCAAACGAAGTATGATGATGGGAATTAGAAATGGGGGTGGTGGAGAAGGGAGAAGAGAAGGAAGTGGGGATGGAGGAGAAATCACCTTTCAGGGGACCCATGCTTGATGC